AAGCAGCTGAGGCTGTTTTCCACTGTCTGTGCCTTGCTACCCACTCTGGCGTAAGTAAAGTGCTGGTACGTAAAAAATAAAGGCGTGTAGCTCCTCCCCCACCCCCCAGCACTGACAGATCTAGGTTACTGGGACAGCCAAACCCACAACGGTGCTCAGTGCTCGGTTTGCCATGCTCGCTTTGCAAAACACTCTACAGAAGAAGTCACCCGGATTATAACAAGCAGGCCAAACAGCTGGGAAAGTGGTCCAAACTGGCAGGAAAGCTGGCCTGGGAAGGGGAGGAAGGAAACAGAGGAGGGAGGGATATCCAGAAGGAAATTAAAACGTCTAGACCAGATGTTGTCCACAAAAGTGGGACTTGGTTCTGGCATGCCAGTCAAACACTCCAGGGGTGTGAGGTGGAAAAAGCTGTATTCTGCATCAAGGCCTCCATGCACAGATGAGACACACTGGAGCCCAGAGGAAAAACAATTTCCCTTTCTATCACATTTTACAGAAATGTAGACAGGCACCAGCAGAATCTTGTCTTTCAGGGGTCACAGAACCACCCCAAAACCATGTATGGGCACATCTGCAAGGGAACTTGCATCAGTTGTTCAACCACATCCCCTTTGGGGCTTCTGGGCTTTTAGCCCAAATAACTCCATTTTACTGACCTTCATTACGCTTTTGCATACATTGCTCACGCCACTGAATTGGATAGAAAAATATTTTATTTATTTATATTTACAGGCCAGTTATAATTGCTGAGGCTTTCCTAGGTGGTTAGAATGGAAAACATACTAACAGGGTAGAAGCACATTAAAAACCAATTAAAACGTAACAAAAAAAAATCTATAAAAACAATTTAAAAGGGCCACAGCATACAGGCTAAATGTTAAAAAAAATTCCTAAAATGATATGTCTCCGCCTGGTGCTGAAAGCAGAATAGAGATGGCGCCAGGCGGATTTCCCTGGGGAGGGAGTTCCAGAGATGGGGGCAGCAGCGGAAAAGGCCCTGCGCCCGGTTGCCCCCCTTCTCATCTCCCCAAGGGCTTGTGGTTCTCATAGAACGGCCTCCTGGGCTGTTCTAAGGAGGTGGGCAGGTATATATGGGTGCAGATGGTCCTTTAAGTAGCCGGGCCCCAAGCCATTTAGGGCTTTCTATGACAGTACAAGCACCTTGAATTGGGCCTGGGCCACAACCGGTAACCAGAGAAGTTCTTTCAGCACTGGCGTTTATGGGCTGCGCTGGCAGTACCAGTTACCAGCCGAGCAGCCCAGTTCCGCACCAGTTGCAATGGCTGGACCGTCTTCAAGGGCAGCCCCATATAAAGCGCATTGCAGTAGTCAGTCTTGGAAGTTACCATAATATTCTTACAGTTTGCTTACAGAAACATAAAAACAGAGTGAGTCAGAAGGGGCCTCCTGGGCCATATGGTCTGAACCCCGACTCCAGCCGGCTCTGCTCACAACATGCCCACCATGTGCACATCTAGCCTGTCCTTGAACACCCGCACCGATGGGGCCTCAACCACCTCCCGGGGAAGACCAGTCCACACCCTCGGGGTCCTGACTGTCAGGAAGTGCTTCCTGGCATCCAAATGGAACCTGGTTCCCTGAGCTTGGCTCCGTTGGAGCGCATCCTGCCCTCCTCTGCAGGGGAGAACAGGTCTCTACCCACCTCCGTGTGACACCCCCTCACACACCTGCATGTCGCCAACAGATCCCCTCTGAGCCTCCTCTTCTCCAGGCTGAAGAGTCCCAGTTCCCTCAGTCTCGCCTCATACGGCTTCCCCTGCAAACTGGCCACCAACCTTGTGGCCCTGTGCTGCACTGACTTCAACCTCGCTATATCCTTCCTGTAATGAGGGGCCCAAAACTGAGCATAATACTGCAGTTGCGGGTGTACCAGGGTCGTATAGGCTTCTCTCACTCTAGAAGCCATGCTTCTGGCTGTGCAACCAAGGGTGGCGTTCACCCTCTTGACCACCGCATCACATGGCTGGCTCATGTTCAGCCTGCAGTCAACCAGCACCCCGAGGTCCCTTTCACAAGTGCTGCTCTCCAGCCACTTGTCCCCTAACCTGTACTTGTGACACCCGTTCCTATGCCCCAAGTGCAAGACCTTGCACTTGTCCACATTGAACGCCATCCTGTTGTCTCCTGCCCACTTCCATAGTCTGTCCAGATCCTTTTGGATCTGGAGTACCTGCTCCTCAGTTGTGGCCACTGCTCCAGTTTTAGTGTCATCTGCGAATTTGATCAGCAGACTGTTCACCCCTTCTTCCATGTCGTTAATGAAAAGATTAAACAGGATCAGCCCCAGGACAGAGCCCTGGGGGACCCCGCTTGTCACTGGCCGCCATCCCGATGATTCCCCGCTAAGGGTTACCCTCTGCTTCTGGTCAGTCAACCATGCCCTAATCCACCGGACAGTGCTTTGGTCTATCCCAAAACTCCTCAGTTGCTCCACCAGGATATCATGGGGCACTTTGTCAAAGGCCTTGCTGAAATCCAGGTATACCACATCCACTGCATCCCCTCCATCCAGCCACCTCGAAACCTTGTCGTAGAATTCACAAGGTTTGTCTGGCAGGACCTGTTTTTGCAGAAGCCGTGTTGTGTGGCTGCCAGCCTCCCTTCCCCATCTAGCATCACTAGATTTCTGTTATGAGCCTTTCCATTGTTTTTCCTACAATGGACGTAAGATTAACGGGTTTGCAATTCCCCATGTCCCTTCTACTACCCTTTTTGAAAATTGGGCCCACTGATGCCACCCTCCAGTCCTCTGGAACTTTGCCCGTTCTCCACGAGGCCTCAAACATGGAGGCCAGCGGGCGTGAGAGAACCCCTGCCAACTCTCCAGGTACTCTCGGGTGTAACCCGTCAGGACCTGGCGCCTTATCATTCCTGGTAGGCATTGTATACCGCAGCAAGTCACAGTGAGCAGGGCCTTTGTGCTTCGTAGATGTTTGGTCTCTTGCACAACACGCTGCCTGGCGCATTTTGCCTTGCCAATGCTCTGTGCATTAAAAATGTCTGAGAATGGAGAAAATCATAAGGAGCCGATCTGCACATTAGGTGTTGCATCCAGGTGTTATAAAGTGTCCACGGGGAACCACCATTTGTGAGCTGTGACGAGGCATTTCCTGGATTGGACCAGAAGCATCATCCCTGACTCAGGACTCCATCAGTCAGTGGATATCTGATGCCTCCAGGAAGCTCTGAGGGAAGAAAGCGCTTTCTTGTTGTTTGACCCACAGTAACTGACATGAAAAGATAGACTGCCTTTGAACACAGAAGCTCTATTGCGACACCATGGCCAATAACTATGGATAGACCTCCTCCTCCTGCATGCCCTTTTATGTCATCTAAGCAAGGAGCTTTCCCCGCAACTTGGGCTAGTGAGTTCCACAGGATAACTTGCTGTCATGGGGACAAACGTGTCTTTGCAAGCACGTGTTGTCCTCAGACATTCGTCGGGTGGGCCAGAATTAAGACTCGCTTGCTGTTGCATGAACTCTCACTAGCAAATGCTGATGTGCTGCCATGCAGTGTCTGCAAAGGCTCTTAGGTATGATGTCCGTCTGGACAATCCCTGTGCCAGAAAGCACATCTGGACCCAAGCTGCCCATTCCAGGGCATGCAATTAAAAAGAGAAAGAAATCCAGAAGTAAAAAATAGACCAAGGGTGGACTAGGACGGTGAGTCAGTGATGTTTTAACATGCAGTCTCTTTGCACACTGAGCCGTGATTTCATACTTGCACTGGCTCGATGCAAGGAACATTCACAGAGGAAAAACACTGCATATCCTCAGAAACACTGCTTCTTTAAGACCCACTGCTGGAGTGCTTGCTTTGGTGCCAAATGGATGTACTCAGAAGCTCTGTGCCTCTGTGTTGGGAACAGACAACCAAAGGTCCCATCAGCATGGCTGATGTTGTGGGATCATGGGAGTTGTAATACAGAATATCTGGGACACAGGTATTGCTTTGGGTCCTTCAAAGAAAGCGCAATTCCTGCCTATTTAGAGGAACTTGGCTTATAGGGCCAGGAGCTTTTAATGTCAAAGGTCAATGACTTTGAGCCTAATCGGTGCAAACTGGCAGCTCTTCAGAGTGGCTTTTTATGTACAAGTCCTTGATAAAAACCCAGATACATACACAATCCACCCTGAGTCAGAATTAACCTTTCTTGGCCGCAGCAGCTCCTCCATGGAGACCTAACACCTACTCATACTCACAGCACAGCTTTTACGGCAAAGAATGGGCAAATGCTCCTGAATCTTGTTCAGTTTTCTTTTGCCTGGAATCTCTGAGCAAAAACAGCCCTTTCGCACCTCCATCTAACCGAACTGCTACTTAAATGGCCCTTTCCCAATCCAGGCCACCACGCTGTGCAGGACTACAACTCCCATCACCCAACCTGGACGTAGTGCACGGTCCAGAGTGTTCTGGGCAGTTGGGTGGTACAGAAACGAAATTAGTTGTTGTGATTAAGTAAGCTGGGCTGGCGACAACACAAGGAGCTGAAACAACCGCAAGCTACAAAAACGCGTTGGCGGGGCGTGGGGAGCACCACCTTGCATGGCGCCATCCCATCCAGCACAGTGTGGTCTGCATTGCATGGCATCGCCTGGGATGGAAAAGGGTGCAAGCCCCCACAGCCCAGCATGGGAGCCCTCCCACCCCACTGCCAGCCATCACTGCGCCAGTCATCACAAAGCTGATGCTTTAGTGGTGGCTGTGGGACTGACACAGAAGCAGCGCACCCCATGGAAGGAGGAGCAGAGTTGGGCCCCCTCCTTCCAGCTTATCACCGCCTCTTCCCCAAGCACCATTCTCCCCAGCAGTGAAAGTTGCGTTATATTGTCAACAGGCACCCTTCGACTCTGGTGCGGATCAGTTAAACTCCGTGATTAACGTGAGGAGAACATTTTCTCCACTGCCTCCCCGCTCCGCACACCCTTCCTGTGAGCCATCTCTTCCCACAGACGTCTCCGTTCCTCCCCCACCTTTCTGCTGCACTGCAGCCATGTTCGACTGCTCTGTGATGAAGGCATGTTGGTGGCAACAAAATGGCTGCTGTGAAGGAAACATGGTGGAGGCCTTTTGGCTCAGAACAAATCGCCAAACCAACACTGCTTCCAACAGACACTTCCCAAAGCTTGCTCTGCACACAGACTGGGAAGTCCAGCTCAGACCCTGAACTGACCCTATTCTACATTAGACCCAAAGGTGCAAGCATAACCATAAGCCAGCAAAGAGTCATGAATGCATAAATGCTCTGCACCACAAATGCGTGAGTTAGATAGGTGTGTGGAGGAGATATTATTTATTATTTGTTTGTTTATTTAGTAAACTTCTATGCCGCCCCATTCGCTGAAGCCTCGGGGAGGCTTACAACATAAATAAATACATATAATCATATAAAAACAATATAATTGGGAACGCCCTGGCCAAAGATATAAAATCAATAACTAAGCTAACAATTAAAATGCCGTTTAAATTAAAGAGGAGGTCTTCTCTGGGGAAAAGAGAGAGCATCATTCAACAGAAAAATGCACAGGCTTCAGCTTTCAAAGGTCTCTTTTTTCACTGGTCAACCAACAAACATACAAGCTGGCTCAAACAACCCTTCTTTTTTGTTCTCCAAGACCAAACACAACAACAGGTAGCAGGAAATAGTGAAATCTGACCACAAAGGTAATATTATCCATCAGAGACTTTGGGTACCCAGTTTTTAGATACCCTAAAGTGTTTCTCAAGCACCATGTTTCACTCACCCAAAGAAAGAGAAAGCTTCTACAGAAAGATTGTCACTTGGCCTCCACAGGACAGTGTGTTTCTAGATTTCTTTTTTTTTTTCTCAGAAGTAAACCAAAAAATTTCAGGGGGACTTCCTTCCAAATAGGTAAACCAACAAAATTTAATAAATAAAGAGAGGGAGAAACAGGGGTAAGTAACCACTCTCACATCAACTCAAAAGATCATCACTTCGGTTTGGGAGTCCTGTAAAACAGGTTGTTGGATATATACATTTTTGCCAAACTAAAGGGTCACGATCCTTTAGAAAGTGGATCAGCAGATGGCATTGGATAAATGTGAGAAGGAAACAGAAAAAATGTGGCATCAAATACAACCAGATGCAGGATTTGGCTCAGCAAGTAATTCAGTATCTAAGCCGGGTAGAGTCTGGTGCCGGCCAGGCAGAGCCCCCCAGTTAAGAAGCTCAACACAAACTCCATTCTGTGCAGTCCATATCAAAGAAGAACTGCCTAGCAGTTTTTCACAGCGTATTTTTAAACTCTTGTTTCACAAAGCTACAGGCATCAAAGAAAGTATGTTTGGGGGAGTATGCTTACTTCATAAGCATCCTACAAAGCACAGTTCCTTTCTAATCTTGACTTCCCCTCCACTCCGGTGTGAAAGACCTCCTAAGTCATGGCTTACAAGTAGCAGAAACCCCAAGCTTTGAGAAAACAGGTCCAGGGAACCACAGCTCCCCACTGTGCCAGTCTTAACAGAAGGCTGGTTACAACTATACATATGGAAATTCACACGCATGCAAACTGCACTCTTAACGAAGCCTTGGGCAGCTCTGGAGCAGTATGGAAGCTCTTCTGTTTATCTGGTCTTCTTGTAGTCCCTTCCATCCGCTCTTTTTTCACCTTGCCCTCGACTTCCTGACAGATTATTCCCTGAGAACTCTGCTCTCTCTTTTAAAATCTTCAGTGGAATTAAGAAATTAAAAAGAGGGAAAAGACATCCAGCAAGAAAGTGTGAGCAAGAATAAAAGTCACTTTTGCTGCCGTTACAAGCTCATGACATGCTATGATGACAGAAGGAAAGCAAACAAAACTAGAGTCAATCCATGCTTTTGCAATGGCTAAATTTCTATCAGAAAATAGCTCCTGAGCTCCTGTCAGGTTAATAGACAAGATAAAGTCTTCCTCAGCCAGGGACCCTTCAGATATGCTGAATCACAATTCCCATCACCAGTTGCCATGGATTACTGCCCAATGAATCTAGAAGGTGACAAGTCGAGGAAAGCTGCAGAAGAGTATCTTTGAGCATGTTCAGAGTATAAGTATAGCAAGAGCAGCAAGTGAGAAAGAACAACTTCCAGATGAGAATGTGGTGTTTCTAATTAAGCCCAAGTCTCCCCCTCTCTCATTTTTGGAAATTAAGCGTGGGCCCTGTGTTCATGTAGACTTGCATGGAAAGTATTGCCCGGTTTGTTTATTCTGAACACCAAGAAAAACCCTGTATAGAAAACGCTCATCAAATAAAACCTCGGGTGAAATTCCTGGGGGGTTGGAAGGGTGAGGAAAAGATTTACTGCTCAACTCTATTCATATTTACTCAGATCGATGGCATTAGTAAATGTCACTGAGGACTGTCGACAGGGCGTTTTGCTGGCTAGAAATAATCCTACACGGCTTCGCAAGTCGAGCAAACAATATAATCCACACATTGGGACTTATTGCGGGGATGTCACCGTCCGCACGTTAGCTATAGAATCGAGCATTTTGCAGGGACAAAACCTCCTCCCCTTCTTACGCCGGGACTCCGTCCTGCATCCCTTGCTTAATCAATAGGAATAGCAGACAACACATTGATTAATATTAATAACGCGCTGTGTCTTTCATGCAAGGTACTTTACCACCACCAAAGGGAAACTGAAATGCGCATTCCCGCATCATAGTTTGCTGCTATTCCGCCCGCTGGAGTTGTAGTTAACCGGGCGGCCAGCAATTCAAGAGCAAAACTCCTATTTTAAAGCTGGGAAGAGGCAGCCCAAAGAGGAATCTGCACGGAGGCTGGGAAACTCGGCGGCAGCCCCCGCCCCCCCGGCAATCCTACACATGCGCGCGCGCAATTCTATCTGTCAACTCAGTAGCCATTGAGTTCAATGGGACGTGCTCCCCCTTTTCGCCTCGGATTCGAGGACCCGTCCCGCGGAGAGCGAGGGGGCTTGGAAGTGCCAGGCAGGGGTGGGACCAAGCCCCGGGGAGAGCACCCTCCAACAGCAGACGCTCTCACCTCTCATCTTTTGCTCCGGTACCTTTTAGACCTCTTCTGGGAATCGCATGAAAAATTCAGCAGCAAAACTCCTTGGAGAACGAGCTGTGGCAGGAAATTAAAGTACAGAGAGAAATTAAGTTTCCAGCCTGGATCCTTTGGGTTCCACGCAGTTGCCCGCTCCTCCGGTTTGGGGCCGGGCTGCTTGTGTTTTACTAGCCTAATTAGGGCTAAAAAGTGCCTTCTGCTCACGTCTCCACGCCTCCCTTCTGTCAGCGCTCCTAGAGAACTGCTAACCTACTTTCTGTGGTAGCCTGCTACAAAAAGCATGGGGAAATTCACAAGACAATCATTCGGCCTAGCCCCACCCACCAGCTGCCAGTTTCCACCCAAGCCCCGCCCCCGCATCCAGGGCCCGCCCCCTGCTCCTCCTGGCATCCTAAATTGCATGCAATTTTGTCATTCTCTGGTTTGCACTATGATATAATTCCAGACAGCTTCCTCTGGTTTGCTCGTTCTTTCCCTGTGTATATTTCTCCTCTTGCAGGGCCTTTTTTTCCCTCTGTAGGCATATTTATCTATTAAACAAACACACCTTATTCAGCACAAATTATATAATCTTCCTGAGATGAGATGCTATGGCCTTAAACTTGGAAGAGCTGAATAGAGCTGTCCCAGAATTTTGGAGGCCTTTTAGCCATGTGGTTGCATTTATGTGATGGCACAAAAATTAGTATTGGCATTTTTCAAATTGCATTTATACCCTCGCCTTTTTTGCAAACAGCCCAAAGCAGTTTACAGGTTTTTCCACTGCTCCATTTTATCCACACAACAACAACCCTGTGAGGTAGGATAGGCTGAGAGGCAGTGCCTGACCCAGAATCACCCAGTGGGCTTTATGGCTGAGTCAGGACTAGAACCCGGATCTCTGGAGTTCCCATCCAGCTGTCTAACTCCTATTTATTTATTCAAACCTTACTGTGGTCTCAGGAAAGTTTAACAATAAGACAATACAATATTGGACATTATGTTCACGTGACTCCAGTCCTCCATCAGCTTCACTGGCTCCCCATTGAAGTCCAGGCCCAATTCAAGGTGTTGGTGATGACCTATAAAGCCCTAAACGGCTTGGGTCCTGGCTACCTGAACGAGCGCTTACGTCCGTATATGCCCGACCGCCCCCTGAGATCAGCGGGAGAGTCCCTTCTCCGGGAACCCTCCATGAAAGAAATTAGGAGGGTGGTTACTCGGAGGAGGGCCTTCTCTGCGGTGGCGCCCCGCCTGTGGAACGCGCTCCCCAGAGAGGTCCGCCTGGCGCCGTCGTTATTTGTTTTTCGGCGCCAGGCGAAGACCTTTTTATTTAAGCAACATTTTAAATGCTAATACAACTGAATTTTATCTGGCCAGGGCGGCTTATTTTATAATGTGTGTTTTAAATTATGGTCATTTTATATGGATATTTTAACTTATTGTTTTATCTAGTGTTGTAAGCCGCCCCGAGGCTTCGGCGAATGGGGCGGCATAAAAATGTTTTAATAAATAAATAAAATAAATAAAATATAAAACACAGCATCCTAATAAAATTTCCAACCAACAATGAAACCCCAATTAAAATAATCAAATCCTAAAACATTGGGAGAATAAAAAGGTTTTAGCCTGGTGCTGAAAAGAAGAAAGTGATGGCGCCAGGCGAACCTCTCTGGGGAGCGAATTCCACAATTGGGGTGCTACCACAGAGAAGGCCCTTCTCTGGGTAGTCACCCTCCCAATTTCTTTTGTGGGAGGACACCCAGAGAAGGGCCTCTGCCCCAGATCTTAAGGGGCGGGCAGGCACCTATGGAAGGAGACGCTCCTTCAGGTAAGCAGGCCCTGAGCCATTTAGGGCTTTCTAGGTCATCACCAGCACCTTAAATCAGGCCTGGGCTTCGACTGGTAGCCAGTGTCGGTGGAAAAGGACCGGCATTATCTGTTCAGCCCTGTCGGTCCCTGTTAACAGCCTGGCAGCTCTATTC